ACACAACATCCGCCACGTCAGCAGCCGCCACGTCAGCAGACAGGCCCACCAGTCGCCACGTCAGGAACTGCCACGTCAGCAGGTGCCACGTAAGCAACTGCCTTGTGAGAACGTGCCACCGGATTTGCAGTTCCCGGTGTACCAGCTGCGCGTTTGCGCCCCCCACATTGCCGCTTGGGGCGCATACCGCCGGGTGACATGGCAGACAGGGCGGAGGGGCCATTTGAGGAGGACATGGCCTGCCCAAGGGACCATGTTGTGTGGACTTGGGTGACTCCTTGGCGGATGCTGCCAGGCAATTCTCGTGGGGCGAGAAGACTGCGCTGCAAGCTCTGCAACAAGGAGTACAAAGGGAATAGGCAGCGTGCAGCAGAGCATTTTATCCTGGCGAGGGCGTCGACCAGATGTCCGGGTGCGAACCTCTCCATTTGGAAGAGGCTGCACCACATCGGTGCGAAACTTCCACCGGATCTGCAGGAGAGGGTGCGGATGGAGTTGGAGCACGAAAGGGACGACGACAACGACGACATTCCTGACGCGTCAGGTGCTGGAGAGGAGGGGGGAGGTAGGATTGCTGATCAACTAGAGGAAGCATGTGGTGCGGAGGGTGAGGAGGGATTGGATGAGGGGACTAGGGGAGTTGTGACTGGAGGATCCGCCGGTGGAGGGAGGCCTGCGTCCCCGCAGGCTGTGATGCAGGGGGCCCGCGCACGCAGAACGGGGAGGCAGACGAGCATCAAGAGGTATTTGAAGAACCCAAGGCAGGAGGAGATAGATGACTCCTGCTGCGAGTTCTTCGTGGAGAACGCGATCCCGTTCAACGCCGCGAAGAGCAGGAGCTTCAAGAAGTTCACGCGGGCGTGTTATGGGCCACAGCCTGCAGCGAGTCATCCTCTTGTGCCTACTGGGTACAACCCCCTCAGGTGTCGGCTCCTAGATCGCCTGAACAAGAGGTTGGAGGAAGAGGAGCAAGTGATCCGGGACGACAAGGAGGTGACGGGCTGCACGTTCATAACCGATGGGACCACGGACATCTGTGGTCGATCGCTTATGAACTACATCCTCGCAGGCCGGTCGAAGCTTGTTTTCATCAAGTGCGAGGATGTCAGTGAGGGGGACAAGGACTTCGCAACTGTCGTGGCTGGATGGAAGCGGTTCTTTAGGGAGGTGGGGGTGGAAAAGATCACGACCATCTGCATGGACTCTTTTGTGGGCAACACGAGTGCTGCCAGGATGTTGAGGGAGGACCCCGAGTTCAGCCAGATCTATTGGCTGCCTTGCACCGCTCACTGCATGGACCTCCTCCTGATCGACATTTGCAAGAAGGATTGGGCGACTGCGATCATCAGCAAGGCGAACAGAGTGGTGAACTTCTTCCGGGCTCACAGGTGGCCCAGATCGGCATTGAGAACTGCACTTGTCAAGTTCCCGGACTTGAAATGCAGTTGTCTCCTCCGACCGGCGCAGACGAGATTTGGGACGCACTACGTGATGCTGCAACGACTGGAAGTCTGCGAGAAGGCGATCAGACGCATTGTCACCGGGCAGGAGTGGAAGGCGCAGGTCTGGCGAGGGGACATCAGGGCCAAGGCCTTCTTCGTGGAGGAAACAGTTCTTGACAGGGTCTGCTGGACCGATGTCAGGAAGCAGACTGCCGTCATGAAGGAGCCCTATAATGTGTTGTGAGAGGTGGACAAAGATGTCCACTGCTTGTCACGCATCTACGATATGGCGTGTCGGCTGCCCGACTTCGTTCGATCGGCCCCCATCAGTGCAGAGCAGCGAGAGGACATCCTCAGGGACGTGGGGAACAGGACGGATATGCTGCTCAGCCCCATCCACGCTGTGGCTCAGCTCTTGGATCCTCAGTTGAGGGACATTACTGTTTTTAGTAATGTCGACCTCATGACACAGTTTGAGAGTGTGGTCGAGAGGCTCATCGAGAAGAAGGGGAGTACGAGATTCGATGACTGCATGGACCAGCTTTACGACTTCCAGTTCGGGCGAGGAGTCCTCGGCACCCCTCAGGCAAAGAAACGGGCTGCGAAGGACAATGCGGTGCTGTGGTGGGAGGCGCATGGGGCGGGGCATCCGGAGATTCGTGAGCTGACCATCAGAGTGTTGTCGATATGGACGACTTCCTCTCCTGCTGAGAGGAACTGGAGCACTTGGGCTCTCGTGCAGACGAAGTGCAGGAACAAGCTGCACCACCAGCGCACCAACAAGTTGGTGTACTCGCACTGGAGCTTGAGGCTGAAGAGAAGGGGGGAAGACGGGCCCACGATAGCAGGAGGGTGGATGGGGCTCTCAGCTGACTGGGAGGACGAGGACCTGGAGGGTGACATGGCGAATGTCACCGATGCCGTTGATGACCACGAGCCTGCTATCGGGGGCGCCGGTTCTGCGGTGGGCAGCACCACTGTTCGCCACGATCGAGCCGGCCCATCGACATTGAGGTCCGTGCAGAGATTGGGGCATGCAAAGGAGGTCGACGAGGAGG